TCACTTTTCGAAATCATAGGTAGTTTAGAGAAAAAATGCCGTATAATGTTTGTATAAACTTTCAATGTCTCGAATTCTGAAATCCCTAACATCCGTGCTGAATTTAAACACTCTGGAATGTAACCTTCAAAATGTAACACACACTGACATCCTGAATGTCATCACGACTTGGCCACTGGGACACAGCTTGGTTTTTCGTGCAGTCCAGGAATTTAACTACAAGAGAAGGACATGTTTAGAACTGACACAACGACTCAGAATTTTGGCTCCAATAATACCATCTAGGTCGTCGTTCACAAGGACTTCGTATGTACCGTCATCCTGTAAGTGTTTCTGGGTGTATGCTTTTGCCCTTTTTACTTGGTACTGTTGTGTTTGTGCTAATTTGGCATGAGCACATGTATTAACAAGACCGCAGCCATTGTGAACTACTTTATTACAGAAGATATTCATGCGCGATGTAATAGTAACAGATAAACCAAACATAGACAGATATAATAATTCCGGATACAACATTTTCTCCCCTTTTAGATTGATGTACATAATTGCAGAGTATGATTAATAAAAATTAACTGTCTATTCTTATTCATAGTTAAGTGTCACAGATTGAATTCACTAGGTCCAGGTATGTTCACAAGCAATTTTATAAGATCAACACACTTATCTGAGGTGCGTGCATTACAATCTATAATGCAAATAAAATATTACATGCATATATAATAATGAACACATTACATGACTAGAAATAAACAGAAAATTTGACTAGAAATTACAGAACACAATATGAAGTTGTACAGGGGATTATTGTGCCCCTTTTACACAGTACAACTGTCCTACATAACTACACACACACTCGAATTAGGTTTTGATCTTGGTAGAAGAACCATGGTACACAAAATCTTCCATGATTTTCGGTTTACGGTTACGTACTGGGTAACGTTTCTCTGGCAATACAGCTGTAGGTTTTGATGGTGTGCGTACAGTTTTGGGCGATTTCGAAATTTCAAGTTCTTTCGGTTTTGACACATGGAAATCCTGAGCAGCAGATGAAACATCATGGTCAATATTGGTAGAACCTGAGGTGTTTGACTCCGGAATCTCAATGCTCGGTTTTGTCATCGGAACTTGCGATTCCACAATCTGGTCAGCGTGTCTTCTCAATTGAGTTGTCGGATCAACTTGAACACGATACGACACTGGTCCAGTTCTCTGTGCGATTGTTCCTGCGATCCATTTGTCCTTTCCTCGATAATCACGCATCATCACCGATTGTCCAAGCTCAAAATCCCTATCATGTGTACGTCTCTGTACACACATATTTTCTTGTTTCTGCTTGACATGCGATTCCACGTTCGGTCTGAGCAGATCCATTTTTGTTCTCAACTCCCTTCCCATCATAAGTTTCGCTGGAGTTTCATTGGTAGTACAATGTGGAGTACTTCGGTAAGCTAATAAGAAGTTTGCTAGTTTCTTCTTAATACCACCTGACTCGTTTCTGCTACATTTCATTGCTTGTTTGAATGTCTGTACAAAACGCTCGGCTAACCCATTACTAGATGGGTGGTAAGGGGTAGTTTTGATGTGTTTGATTCCATTAGCACTCAAGAAGTCTTCGAATTCCCTTGAAGTAAATTGTGGACCATTATCACTGACAATAGTAGCAGGTAGACCATTTCTGGAAAATACGGTCCTAAGAACATCGATAGTGTGCGCTGATGTAGTAGTAGTCATTTTGACCACATCTGGCAACTTTGAATGAGAACCCACCATTATCAAGAACATGGCTCCCAGGAAAGGTCCAGCGAAATCTATGTGAACTCTCTCCCATGCTTTTGTTGGCCATTCCCATGCATTCAGTGGTGCTCCCTTAGGCGCGTTCTGATTCTGTTGACATCCCTGACACCTTTTAGCCACTATCTCTATGTCCTGGTCAATTCCTGGCCACCAACAGAAACTTCTGGCAAGTGTCTTCATCTTAACGACTCCCAGATGTCCTTCGTGAATCTGAGATAACACTTGGGTCTCTGAGTTTAGTAGGTATAATCACCCGTACACCCCACATGACACACCCGTGATGTATTGACAGCTCGTTCCGACGTGAATAATATGGCGCTAATCCACCATCTTTGTCTCTTGAAGTCCAGTCACTGTTTATACATGACATCACACGTCCTAGAACTGCATCCTTGCGCGTTTCCTGTTGAACATTTTTTAACGGACACCGGTAAACACTCAATCTGTCCAAGATGGAAGGCATCAACCAGGTCAATGGCAATATCGGACTCCTTCCCTTCTAGTGGTAGACGCGACATTGAATCAGCATTAGCGTGTTTCGTTGTCTTGCGGAATCCAATCTCATAGTCATAGGCAGACAAGAAAAGAGAATATCTTTGTAGTCTTGATGAAGCAGTTACTGGAACGCCTTTCTGAGGACTAAAAATGTGTATCAGAGGCTGATGATCTGTGATCAACTTGAATTTTCTGCCAAACAGGTAAGAATGGAATTTCTTAATTCCCCATATGATTCCCAAGGCTTCTTTATCAATTTGGGAGTAATTTTTCTCTGCTGGTGCTAGAGTACGTGAGGCGAATGCGATTAGTCTCTCGGTACCATCAGGTAGCTCATGAGAAATAACAGCACCAAGTCCATAGGGTGATGCATCACATGCTAGAGAAATGGGTAAATCTGGATTGTAGTGTGTCAACACCAAGTCTGAAGCTACCAAGTCCTTCACTTTGTTGAACGACTCCTCACAGGCCTCAGTCCATTCCCAACGACTATCCTTCTGCAGTAACTTGTGTAAGGGTCTAAGTACAGTTGCCAAGTCAGGTAAGAATTTACCATAATAATTCACCAAACCTAAGAATGCTGGGAAACATTGGTTGGCGCAGGTGCCTTCACTATAGCATCAATCTTCTCTGGTGTCTTTTGTAGACGTGTCGGTCAATCGTGTGTCCACAAAATGTTGTATTCTCTTTGAAGAATTCACATTTTTTTTAAGTTTGCACGCAAACCATACTGACTTAGTCTTTTCAAAACCATGTCCAAATTTCTGAGGTGTTCCTCGTCAGTCTTTCCTGTGATGACCATATCATCTAAAATACACTGGGTCCCTGGAACGCCCTGTAAGACTTGCTCAATTGTCCTCTGCCAAATAGCTGGTGCAGACGCAATTCCAAAGGCCATCCTATTATAGCGGAACAATCCCTTGTGTGTGCTTATGGTCAGTAGTTCTTTGCATGCTTCATCCACAGGAAGTTGCAAGTATGCTTGTTTCAAGTCGATCTTGGAGAAATGTGTTCCTCCGTTCATATTCGCAAAAATATCGTCTATTCTGGGTAGTGGATATTGATCGACGTTAAGTAGCGGGTTCAGAGTGACCTTGAAATCTCCACAAATTCTTACACTTCCGTTTTTCTTCAAGACAGGTACGATTGGAGTTGCCCAGTCACTTTGTTGGACATTGGTAAGTGTTCCCTCTGCTTCCAGTCTGTCAAGTTCTTCCTCAACTTTTGCTCTTAAGGAAAATGGCACTGTCCTTGCCTTGACATATTTGGGTTTGTTTTCCTTGAGTGACAGCTTGGCTGTGATACCTTTGACAGTTCCCACATCATCACTAAACACATCCTTGTATTTCTCCAAAATTTCACTAATGTTTGGTGATTTAACAGTGTTTAGGGCATGTGTCTCTTTGATCACTTTCCAGTCAAGTTGAATTTTCTTCAACCAATCTCTGCCGAGAAGCGCTGGTCCTCCTTTACGAACAACATACAAGGGTAATGTTTGTTTCGTGTCACCATATTCAACTAGCACATCTATATAACCCACTGGCTTGATGTGTTCTCCAGAATATGTGCGTAGCGTGATGTCCGGGGCTTTCAAATTTAGTTTTCCAAACTTTTCTCGGAACTCCCCCTCCGCCATGACTGACACAGCAGAACCAGTATCAAGTTCCATCTTCATCGTCTTTCCGTTTATTTTCAGCTGGATCCAGATAATATCCTTACTTGCCAAATTGTTAAATTCCAGACTGGCTATGTAATTGTCATCACTTGGATCCTGAGAATCATCAGCTACAAAATTACAGTTTTCTTCCTTTGAATGGGTTTCCTAGAGGTTGTAGGTTTTGAGCGGCAAGCTTTTTGAATATGTCCACGTTTATGACAGTTATGACACACCGTATCTTTGAAACGACAGTCCTGTGCAACATGCCCATTGCCATTACATCTATAGCACTGCTTTCTGTCTTTCTTATCACTCGGTTTTGAATGTCTGTTTTTCACATGCAATCTGTTCATGGCCCCTGTCTCTGTCCTGTTTTTACTCTGTAATTCTGTGGCGTCGTTAGCTGCGGCTTCCATTGCGAGACTTATCTCAACAGCCTTTTCATATGATAGATCTTTTTCTGACAGCAATCGTCTCTGAATTTGTGTATTTCTTACACCACACACTATTCTGTCTCTCAGCTTTTCATTTAATGACGCATTAAAGTCACAATGTTTGGATAATTTCTTTAATTGCGCTTCATATTCTGTGATAGTTTCCCCCTCTTTCTGGTCTCTTTTATCGAAGCGAAAGCGCTCTGCCGTTTTAATGGGTTTAGGAGACAAATGTCTATTCAGTAGTCTTACCAGTTCTTGGTATGTTTTCGTGGCTGGCTTGTCAGGGAATGTCAGGTCACGAAGCAGGGAATACAGTTTTCCACCAATAAGACACAATAACGAAGATACCTTCTTCCCAGGGTCAATCTCGTTGACCTCAAAATATTGCTCGAAACGTTCAACATAGGACTCCCAGGACTCGGTTGTCTCGTCAAATGGTTCGATTTTGCCAATCAATCCAAATGCAGCCATCCTTGCGAATTAACACCACAGATCCGAACGGGTGGGTTATAATATCAGACAAGAACGGTTTAAAAAGTTTACCTCGTCGCCAATTTGTTGTGTTTGTGCTACTTTAGCATGAGCACATGTATTGACAAGACCGCAGCCATTGTGAACTACTTTATTATGTTCCCCAAAAAGAAGTTGGGTAACATATTGTTTTTACTCTGTTTCTTCTTATTATGTTCCCCAAACGAAGTTTGGGAACATATTGTTTTTACTTTTTCTGAATTTTTTCTTTGTTCTCCGGTACTTTTTTGTCCGCGAGTGTTCTCGTAAACTACTCATCCGATCTAGGTGAAACCTTTTTAGGGTCACTAGGTATGTTATGAAGATGTGCGGAACGAAGGTCATTTTGCGCGCACGTGCGTGCAGGTGCGCGCACGTGTAACACGTGAAATGACCAATGTAATAGATTTAGCCGTAACTTTTTAAATATTGGATGAAATGCTTTGAAACTCATAATATAAGGATATAATAGTAGTATAGACATGATGACATGGTCAAAATAGCAAGATCTCACGCGCATGCAGGTGCCCTTCGCTGCTATTGGCTGAACCTTAAAGTCTAAATATCTATTTTGTTTTCTGACAAAATCCTTTGAAATTTTGAACATAGTCTTACATTATGAAGATCTACAGCATGATATATAAGAATAATCATGAACGCACGCACATGCACGTGTGCTGCAATCTGATTGGCTAAAACTTTAAATGCCTACAACTTTCTTGGTTCTCAATAATACAGGGTGAAATTTCAAATATGAATAGATATAATGATTGCCTACATTATACTACTATCAAAAGTAAATACATGGACGTGCATGCACATGCGACCGCACACAATGTATTAAAAGACAGTATACTTGAGTGTTTGATGTTCATGCAGAATTAAGAACTTCTAAATGTCAAGACATGTAACATACTGAAGCATGCAGATCTTTTTACCCTTGACCTTGAAACTTAGGTCAAGGTCACTGGTAACCTGAATAAAATGTTGATATTAACTATTTACCAAAATCACCTTGACCTATGAACTTGAAATCGACCTTAACCTTTGTCCTTGACCCAAGGGTAAAAAGAAACATGAAGTACATGTACATGTATCTAGAAACACCTTTCAGAGTTTATTTCGGTTGACAGGTTAGAAGTTGAAGAGGTGGTGGTTTTTAATGACCTTGACCTTTCATCCAAATGTCACAATCAATCTTAAGTTCTTGGAATAAGATACAGGATTCAACTCCAACGTTAAATAGGTTAAGAATAAAAATAACCCCCCACCCCCCACACACAAACAAATCAAATTAATGGCAACGTAGAGAATCACTGTTAAACTCAAATAACACCTCGGACCCACATAAAATTTCAGGAAAACTGCAGAAAAGAGCTCGAGGAAAGTGTATTAAAATATTTCATTTGAGTTTCCAAAGTATATAGAAATTATTAATTTATACAGAAAAAATTACAAATCCTGTCGTGTTTAAAATTAAAGTGCGGATGACCAAAGTTAGCATATAAGCCTTTTATAGCCTATTTATTCAGATGTCGTTAATGGCATTCGATTCTACTGATTTGAAATAATATTTTAATACCAAGCATCCTTTGTTTAATTTACCTTTGAAATTTATTTGAATTTTTTTTTAGAATTACGCAATCCCCAGAAATAGCGATTTTCGATATATTAAAAAATCAATATACATGTACGCTCCTTCGTAAAATAATCAGATATTTGCATTCATGAAAAAAATATTAATAAGAAGGTGTTAAACAATATAGGTCACATTAGCTGACACGAATGTCTTTTTAAACATCTCTTGTAAAACCCAGAGAGTAGCCCCCTATGCATTGGAAAAAATCAATAGTTCCGGTCAAAAAACCTATATATATTTATTTACAAAGTATATAAAATTTACCAGGCACAGGTATCAGAGTTGTCAAAATGGCCAGAGAGGAAATATTTTAAAAAAATTCTGAACAGAAAGGAAAATCCCTTTTTCATGTATGGAACTACTATTGAATAAGTTCATTTTGATTGGTTAGGTATTGGTGTGATACCCTTAGTCGACTTTAACCCTGCCTTGTCGTCGGAAT